TATATATATATATATATGTATGTATATATATTTATATGTATGTATGTGCATTCGTGCATTCAGCTCTGAGCGCAGGAGAGATGCGCCCAGAATAATCCTATGTTTTGTATTGAAGAGGCGCTACTACGCATGCACAACTTTTAACGAGAGTCTATGGGCAGCGATTTTTGTGTCCCAGGGCAGAAGTGCGTCATCACAATCAGACGTTTTTGAACGAAGCAACTTTACTCATCATTACCTAAAAAAATATTTAACTTACACAACAACAACAAAAAACAACATACATTTCATTTTTATTTATTTTTTTATGTCTTATTCAAGGTAATGTGGTGAGTGGTGGGGCGGCGCCCTGGCACCCTCTATTGGCCAGCCGCCACTGGGCTGTAGGCAGGAAGGATCTCTTGTGAAGGTCCATTCCACAGCAGATCCGAAGAAAATGGTCTGGCCTCTCTCGGTTCCTTCGGACTGAATGCTGGACAGAACTCCTCTCAGAGCGATGGTCACTCCTCCCAGCAGCCTGCCAAGCTCCTTGTCTCTGCAGACAGCAGGCTGCAGGTGCCAAGGGGACGATCCTGGCCCTTCTGCTGAACTGACATCTTAATATGTTATTTAATGTATACCTGTATACTTGGATTATTGAGCATGGACGTTGTTGGTTTTGAACCAGTTTGACATGACTGTCGACGAGGAAGAGGGCCGGCACCAGAGGAGGGGGCGTGCCAAAGAGACCATCTTAGCACCAACATAACTGGTTTGTTCCACTTTGGAGTAAGCTGTTTGGGGAATAATCAGTTTTGTGTTGTGTGTTTCCTTGACTGATGAAGCCTTCTGGATGGAAGGTGAAACGTTTCAGCAAAAAAAGAAACTGTCCAGATGACCTGACTGAAAAATGTTGGATTGTATACCTGGGTTATTGAGCATGGACTTTTTAATGTTATTTAATGGTTTTACAGTGTATATATAACTCATTATAGTCCCCTATGTACTTCCAAGATCATTCGCAGTAAGAATGTGATGTCCTAATTGTTCCACAGAATCAGAA